TTCATGAATAAATACAAATTAGTTTAAGATATCAAATTAATAAAAGTGTATAACAAGGAGGGACAAATGAACTAAGACACAACCAATAACAAGTGAAGATATAAATTCGCAATACTATGTCTCATTATTAGAGTTATGCTCAATCTTCATATTTCTATTGATGAATAGAACTTTTATCATTAATTTGTTAAAGAATTTTGAAGGTCAACGATATTAATTAGGAAATTCGACATGTGATTTGCGTTAGAACTGTTAGGCGAGCCTCAGGTATTGGGCGTTAGGCGTGTTTAGGGCGCACGGTCGGGCGCTTGGGGCGTAAGCCTCACAGAACTAAGCCCCATACATGAGCCCTAGGGCGTTTTGCAAGTGCCCCGCCCAAGGGCGAGCCCCGGGCGAGTCCCAGAAATGCCTTTTAAAACACTGATTTGAAGCACTGTGCTGTGTTCTTCACACNTCACATTTTGAATTGCTATTTGTCAGCGCCGTTGGATAGTGGTGAGCAATCCTAGCTTGTGTTCAATTATTTCAAAATGGCTTGGGACAGAAGCATGGATCCGTAATGTGGACCTCATAGCAGGTTTACGAGAATATGCAGAAGATCCAGATCTACACGCCGAATGGAAGAATGTATGAGATCTTTCTTTGCAATCTCAATCTGAAAGGAGTACCTGCTTGTTGCTTTTCAGTCTAATACATTTTTTATTTCTGACTTGTAGATGAAGAAGGTTAACAAAATGAGGCTGGCTGAGTACATTGAAACACTTACAAGCGTGAAGGTTTCTGCACATATCCATTGCACTTCCTTCTCTGCTGGTTTCCTACATGTATGTTGTCAATTGACCAAGCTATATACCNGTCACCTGACCAAGCTATATACCTTATATTGCAGGTCAGCTTGGATGCAATGTTTGACGTGCAGATAAAACGAATACACGAATACAAAAGACAACTGCTCAACATATTAGGCATCATCCACAGATATGATTGCATTAAGGTATCCTCTACATTCCTCTTCTTCTTAGAATAATATTCCTGAGCAAAACCTGACTGTCGAGTGGAGATATAACCACTTACGAACGTACTCCCTGAACTAGTTGGTAATGCAATAATCACCTTGTTCAAACTTCAGGCAGGTCAGCTTAGGTAATGGGAAGTGGCTTAGAAGGTGCCTGAAAAAACTTTCTACCTCATTATGGATCACCAACATTTTGTTTTCTTTTGGTAGTCAAACTCTGAATTTTTGAGTCTAAAGACATCTACTTTTGCCAATTCTGGTTCAGATGTTGTATCTGATCAAGCTTTGGGCATTTTGCCATGGACTTACGCGCTTATGCGCAAGGCCAAATATGAAGCCACAGAAACTATGTTTGGTTGAATTCTTGTTGTAGAATTCATTTTTGAAAATAGAACAGACTACATGAGCTCACTACCAGCTGCGGAAATATCAAGACCAACAGAAGCGCATGTCTCAACTAAAAAATTTCTTCTTGTTGCCCATTGAATCTTTGTTTCTGTCCAGTGGCCTGATATTTGGGAGCTTATCTCTTTTTTTTTTTGGGTCATTTCTTCAATAGAATACTCATGGTTGCTCCAAAATCACTTTTACTGACACAAAAAGTATCTAACTTACCTGGTTTATTCAGAATATGGATATGCCTATAAGTATCAGTCTATTTTCTAGAAGTTCTATTAGTTCCTTATTGTCTTTCACAACTATTATTATCGGTCGAACTGTACTTGATGAATCATCTCTCTGATACATTATACTGTCAATACTTTTTGAAGAATATGGATGAGAGTGACAAGCGGAGAGTTGTACCTCGTGTATGTATAATTGGTGGGAAAGCTGCCCCTGGCTATGAAGTTGCAAAGAAGATCATCAAACTTTGTCATGCGGTGGCTGATAAAGTTAACATTGATCCTGATGTTGGGGATCTCCTGAAAGTGGTAGGACAAGAATTTGATTTATTTGTTTGTAACCTCAATTATGTTCAGTCTCATCATGTTTAAATGAAACCATAGTCCATTCTTTTCTCTATGAAAATGAGAATGTCCATTCAGAAACTTGATCTGCTTCTGAAAAATACAACATGGAATGAGCAAAGATAATTATGAAAGAACAAGGAAGGGAAGAGAATAGCAAGCAGGTTCGAAGCATTACTTTGTTAGTCCCTAACAATCTGTCCCATAAAGTCTTCTCCTGAATGATGCATTCATTCTAGAGTCAGCCGTAATTGGAAACTTTTGAGGAAAGTTAATGAAAACACTTCTACCATTTTGCTGCAGAATTATGAAATTGTTGTCTTACAAAACTTCACTGTGCCTACATATTGATCTGGCATGTCATTGATCTAAAACATTCTCAGGGTTTACTCTATATGTGATCCTTGCTTTCTTTTCCCCATCCCCTACTATTAAATGTTCATGTGTACTTTTTTTCCTGGACTGTTGATATGAATGTTACTACTCAGAATTTTTATGCTTCCATTTTCTGATGTCATTATAGATAGCTAAAACTTAGCAGAAATGAACTCGTCTTCTGATATTTTAGGTTTTCATCCCTGATTATAATGTCTCTGTTGCCGAGCTAGTAATTCCGGGAACTGATCTTTCACAGCACCTAAGGTCAGTGTTTATCTTGTGCCCTCTCTTCTGTTTTTATCTTCTAACACGTGCAATTTACAATTACAGCACACTGTCTTACCTGATAACGTCTTCTGTTTCTCCCTAAGTAGAATTAAAATCACTTATTTCCTCTTTGGATGGTCAAAGTTCGCGTTGACTGCTTCTTTGTTTCACTGTGAAAGTCATTGTTTGCTTCAACTGGTACCTATAACTCCAGTATGAGCAGTTTCCTGCAAAACTTGATGTAACAGGAATCTTTCATGTACAGATGTGTGCTAACAACGGATAGAAATCATTTGTATTTTTGCAGTACTGCTGGACATGAAGCATCTGGAACTGGATGTATGAAATTTTTGATGAACGGTTCTTTGTTATTAGCTACTGCAGATGGCTCAGCTGTTGAAATTGCTGAAGAAATAGGGGCAACAAACATGGTAAGTAGTGACAGTAGACACGTGTAAATGATGATAAAAGAACTGAAGAAAAGAGAGAACAAGTGTTGTAGGATATGGTCCCCTTAATTGACCCCATTTTCTTGTTTGATAACTTTCTTTTGTTCCTTATTCTTCTTTTTCTTCTTCAGTTTCTTTTTGGTGCAAAGGTGGATGAAGTCCCAGCGTTGCGAGAAAAAGGAACCAGCCTTAAAGGTTCACTTCAATTTGCACGAGTTGTAAGGTATGCAGTGTAGTTTGAGCAATCTTTCCCTTGAGTTTTACTTCCTACTCTCTGTATCTATCCAACTCTCCCCAGTGAACAATCTGCCATGTCTAGGTGTTTCCTTTCTGTTGGCTGCCAGGGAAAATTGACAGTAGTCTAGAGAATTATTGAATACGGTCTTTTCTATCCCTCTCTCTGTCACAGTCACACACATTAACTTTTGTTTTATAACCTTCAAGATCGTCTATACCATGTCTCATTCACTAGCGTGATTGTCAAAGCTGATGGACATATCGTTGTCACATAAATGATCTTTATGACATGGTATCACTCGTCCCCACTGATAATTTCTCTACCTTTTATTATCATAAATGAGTTGGGAGAACAAACCACCACTAAAGTCATTGTTTTGCTGCCAAGGTTCTTGGAGGTTTGTGCTGACCATAGAATTCGTGTTGTATCTGAAGTATTTCCTATCCTGTTTGCAATTGCGATGCAGTTCAGGGTTATGTGGCTGCCCGCAGCTGTGAGCATGATTGTTCATTGTTGACAGGCAGCCTTAGTTAGAACTACGTCTATTGTGAATTAGTTAAAGCTTTCTATGTGAATAATGTTGCATACTAAGACCGTTTACTTTGTTCTCTGTTCCATTTTCTTTATCTCTGTGTGGCAGTTACATTTTTCCTCTCTCGAATAAAGCTAACGTATGTATGATGTGGTGCAGCAAGGTTTTCCTAAGTTTTTGGGTAATTCCTGGTCAGATTAAACAGAATTCAAATGGACATAGTGCCATAACTTTTTCCCTTTGCAACCTTGTTTATAGGAAATGTCGTAGATAATTAATATAAGCCAACAACATAAAGAAGTCAGAAGGAAAGTACTATGATCATAGTAATATCCGCTCTGTGGTTGAAGCTTTTCTGCTGACAGGCATAAAGAATTTATTGAAGTGAACTCACATTTTTGGGTCCTAAATTGGGAGGGAATTTTTTTTAAAAAAAGTCACATTTTCCTTTAGAAACTGGAAAGTAACTCATGAAAAGCGAAAAGAATAAAAGCTGCTTCCAAGTTCCAATTGCCAGCTAGAATGTGATTGCCTTGATCACAGCTTACTCTGCAAGAATTTTTAGTTATAGGATGAAGCTTACTGAGTGAAATGCACTGCATAGGTTCATGAGAATAACTTTGGGAGTTTTCAGCTTTTTGCTCATCTTATTGTAGGATGGTCCGGGATGGTCACTTTGGGTTCAAAGACTACTTCAAGTCGCTATGTGAGACTGTAGAGGAGGGTAAAGACTTTTATCTCCTGGGATATGATTTTGCTAGTTATTTAGAGGCTCAGGTAATGTTTCAACTTTCAACCAATCTGTTATTTTTGTTAGAATGCTCAGTTGGGAACTGACAGAATATGACAAACAGGCGACCGCTGATAGAGCATTTGTTGATCAAGAAAAGTGGACCCAAATGAGCATACTTTCTACAGCCGGTTCTGGGAAATTCAGCAGCGATAGAACAATAGAAGAATATGCAGAACAGAGTTGGGGCATCGAACCCTGCAAATGCCCCTTTTGATTTGCAAAACTATGCTTCCTGTAGGAACAAACATGGTTTGTAACCATGTATCCTAATTTGACGATACAGAAAGCAGCTCTTATAGTTGCAGATAAAATGAATGAAACATGCAACATGGTTATTTTGACTGAGGGGGTTAGTCGAATCAACTATGGTATGCAAGTAGTGAACATGGGATGTACAACTTACAAGTCTTCCTTTTATTTCCTTGAACTAGAATATGTAAGAGATTCTCAATCTTTTCAATACAAGTTACTTACCAGTATTTGATATTTTGATTGTTCTTTTGGAAGTAATTTATTCCCTGTAGTTTCTATGTGTTTATTTTACGCTCAAAAAAATGCTTCATCTTGTGGACTGGAATTTCTGCTCTGATGGACCAAACAAAGTGAGCAAAACCTCTAATTAAGGGGGCATTTGGTTTAGTCTATGCAATTATTATTATTATTATTATTAATGAAAGAATAGTTATGTAGTGAATATTATTGCATGAATTTAGTCGACATAGCAGTTCAAAGTTATACTGTAATTTACGTAAACAAAAGAAAAATATTTTGATGTTTGTTATGAAATATAACTCAAATTAACAATATAGAACAAGAAAAAACAAGCTAAGAGATATAGAGAGAAAGGGAGAAGAGATTCTTATTTGTTCTTCAATTGTGTGTGTTTTCCTATCTATTACAAGACCTTTATATAGGCATGAAAAGTGAAGAAAATATGTCATTAAGCATTTTAGATGAATATCATGGAGGAAGAGTAGACATCCACCATAATTTGATATTTCTTATAACACTCCCCCTTGGATGTCCATAGATAATGTGCATCGTCAAAACCTAATTAGAGAAAAAAAAAATTCTAGTGAAGGAAAAAGAGTATACATGTTTAGAAATACGCTTTTTGGTTGCCTCATTAAAAACCTTGCAAGGAAAACCCAGTGGGACAAAACCTTGTAAGGGAAAAAAAGTACACCGCGTATTAACTCCCCCTGATGAGAGCATCAATTCACATCCTTGAGCCTTCGCATCCCAATCTTGTACACTAGTTTCTTGAAGGTTGACGTCGGTAGAGATTTGGTGAACAAATCAGCCATATTATCACTTGAACGGATCTATTGCACATTGATATCACCATTCTTTTGAAGATCATGTGTGAAAAATAACTTTGGTGAAATGTGTTTTGTCCTATCTCCTTTTATGAATCCTCCCTTCAATTGAGCTATGCATGCTGCATTGTCTTCATACAAAATTGTGGGTAGTTTGTTACACTTCAAACCACATTTGTCTCGAATAAGGTGTATTACAGACCTCAACCATACACATTCTCAACTTATTTCATGAATAGCTATTATCTCAGCATGATTAGATGAAGTAGCCACGATTGATTGCTTAGTCGATCGCCAAGATATTGCAGTGCCTCCACATATAAACACATAGCCTGTTTGAGATCGAGCCTTGTGTGGGTCAGATAAATACCCAGCATCGGCATAACCAACAAGATAGGGACTGCAATCATTGTCATAAAATAAGCCCATATCGATAGTCCCTTTTAGATACCGCAATATGTGTTTGATTTCATTCCAATGTCTCCTTGTAGGAGCTGAGCTATATCTTGCTAAGACATTAACTGAAAATGTTATGTCAGTCCTTGTAGTGTTAGAAAGATACATTAGTGCACCAATTGCACTAAGATATGGTACATCAGGACCAAGAAGCTCTTCATTCTTTTCTTGAGGTCGGAACAGGTCCTTATTCACATCAAGTGATCGAACAACCATCGGAGTACTTAATGGATGTGCTCCATCCATGTAAAACCGTTTCAATACCTTTTCTATGTAGGCATATTGATGAACAAAAATTCCGTTTGCCAAATGTTCAATTTGCAAACCGAGACATAATTTTGTCCTTCCGAGATCTTTCATCTCAAATTCCTTCTTTAAATAATCAATTGCCTTTTGGAGTTCTGTAGGAGTTCCAATAAGGTTTATGTCATCAACATATACAGCAAGTAAAATAAACTCTGATGTTGTTTTCTTTATAAAAACACATGGACAAATGGAATCATTTATATAACATTCCTTTAATAAATTTTCACTAAGGCGGTTATACCACATTCTTCCTGATTGTTTTAGACCATACAAAGATCTTTGCAATTTGATTGAAAACATTTTCATGGAATTTGAATTATGTACGTCAAGCATTTTAAATCCCTCGAGAATTTTCATGTATAACTCATTATCAAGTGATCCGTATAGGTAGGATGTAACCACATCCATTAAATGCATGTCAAGCTTTTCATAGACAGCAAGACTAATGAGATAACAGAACGTTATAGCATCCATAACAGGAGAATACATCTCTTCATAATCGACACCAGGCCTTTGTGAAAATCCTTGTGCAACAAGGCGTGCCTTATATCTTTGTACCTCATTTTTCTCATTCCTTTTACGTACAAAGACCCATTTATAGCCAACAAGTTTAATAACATTAGGTGTTTGGACTACAGACCCAAATACTTCACGTTTCGCAAGTGAATCTAACTCAGATTGGATTGTTTCTTGCCATTTTGGCCAATCACGTCTTTGTCGACATTCTCCAACAGATTGAGGTTCAAGATCCTCATTATCTTGCATAATGCTAGATGCAACATTGTATGCAAAGACATAATCCATCACTATATTCAATCGATTCAAATTTGTCTTAATATCGATTGGATTTATTGATAGTTCCTTATTTTCTTGAGTCTCAGACTCATCGATATCCTCATGTATCTCGGGATTGGTTAAATCATGGGTTTTTTTTATGAGACTCTTTCGTAGTGTCATCTTGATCATTTATTTTCTTTTTTCTAGGATTTCGATCCTTAGAACCCAATGGTCTGCCACGCTTTAGGCGTGCTTTTGACTCATTAGCTATGACACTAGAAGATTGTCCAGCAGGGACATCAATACGGATTGGAACATTTTCTACAGGGATATGTGATTTCGTTATCCTTTTCAGATCCGTAAATGCATCCGGCATTTGATTTGCTATTTTCTGCAATTGGATAATCTTTTGTACCTTTTTTTATAATTAGAGGCACGTGGATCAAGATGAGACAATGATGGATTTTTCCACAAAATTTTCCGTTTAATTTCACCAATTTCTCCTCCTAATTTTGGAAAAAGTGCCTCATCGAATCGACAATCTGTAAATCAAGCAGTGAACAAATCTTCCATTAATGTTTCGAGGTAGCGAATAATGGAGGGCGATTCAAACCCAACATATATTCCTAACCTTCTTTGGGGATCCATCTTGGTGCGATATGGCGGTACTACAGGCACATATACAACGCATCCAAAAATTCTTAGATGAGATATATTAGGTTCATGACCCAAAACTAATTATAACGGGGAATATTTATGATAATTTGTCGGTCTGAGACGAATTAGCCTTGTTGCATGCAAAATGGCATGACCCCAAATTGAAGTGGGTAATTTCGTTTTCATGAGTAACAGTCTTGCTATCAATTGCAGACGTTTAATCAAAGACTCTGCAAGGCCATTTTGAGTGTGAACATGAGCTACAGGATGTTCCACTTTAATCCCAATTGATAAGTAATAATCATTAAATGCTTGGGATGAAAACTCAGCAGCATTATCAAGTCGAATAGACTTAATTGGATTATTGGAAAACTGTGCCCGTAATCGAATTATTTGTGCAATTAATTTTGCAAATGCCAGGTTGCGAGATGAAAATAGGAACACATGAGACCATCTATAAGATGCATCTATTAAGACCATAAAATATCTAAATGACCCACTAGGTGGGTGAATAGATCCACAAATATCCCCTTGTATACGTTCCAAAAACGCAGGGGACTCAATCCCAACCTTTGTTGGTGATGGTCTAATAATCAACTTGCCTTGATAACAAGAAGTGCAAGAAAACTCATTATTTAAAAGAATCTTTAAATTCTTTAATGGATGCCCATTTGAGTTCTCTATAATTCGTCTCATCATAATTGATCCAGGATATCCCAATCGATCATGCCAAAGTACAAAAGTATTGGAATTAGAAACCTTTTGGTTTACGATAGAATGTACCTCAATTGCACTAATTCTTGTCCAATATATGCCACAAGATAAAGATGGGAATTTCTTAATAACCCTTTCTGGCCAGAGACATTCTTGGTAACGATGAGATATTCGAGATTATTCTCATCTATTGTCTCAATATGAAATCCATTTCGACGGATATCTTTAAAACTCAACAAGTTCCTCTTGGACTTGGAGGAGAACATTGCATTCTCTATGATAAGTATTGTTCCCTTAGGCAGAGTTATATTAGCTCTTCCAGAGCCTTCAATTAGATTACTACTACCGAAAATTGTAGTAACATCTGCCTTACACATACTTAAATGAGAGAAATATTTCTTCTCTTTGAATATTGTATGTGTTGTACATGAATCAATTAAGCAAATATTTTTACAATTGAACTTTGATCCAAGTTTGCTTTGAAAGATATCCATATTTTCTTCCCATGGTTTGACATACAAAAAAAGTATATGAATAAATATTAGTATTTTTAGAGAAAAAGGAAAAATAAATAAAGCTAAACCAATAATTCAATAGTGACCTTTTAATGCATTTTCTAGCAAATTTTAATTATTATACAAATAATTACGCAGCAAAAATAATACAATTATAAGTACATTACACATATGACTAATACAACTACAACAAATTTATTTACATGTATAAGTTATTTGCATTTTCCTATACATTGTGTGAAAAACAATTGATCTGTGTAAGAAAAGAACATACTTAGCTGCTTCTCTTTTCTTTATTCATAATATTTCATCCATGTACATGAAAACAATTAAGGGTGAAGTAACAAAAGTTATTCCAGGGTGCTTGTAAACTTCTTCTTAAAGAGAATTAAAGTAACGTAAAGAAAAATCAAAAGGCATTAAAAGATCAGTGAGACTAGGACACTAATTACTTAGATATTACTCCTTGTTTGTGAAATTTATGAAATTTAGGAAATACATATATTTTTAAAAATTACATAAGAAGTATTATTAAGTGCAATAAAATTACAAGATATTTATTCATTAGATACTACGAATAGGAAAACATAAAAATCAAACTGCTCAATCATCTTTAACCATAGATCCATCACCGATCGAGTGGTTTATTTTTCCATCAGGGTACTCAAAAAAATCTGCCACATCCAAGTGGGTGATGTCAAATTTATTGTCATAGACAAAATTAGTTTCAGGAGCTTTATTCTTTAGAGATGT